CTGTAATAGCAAGAAATGACCTACAGTTCGAAGCATAATAAGTAGGATTTCGAGGAATTTTAAAGTAAACCATAGTATCTATTCGGTCTGAATTCATTTTTGGGCTTCCTTTTTATAGTGAGGTTAGCTTTATATCAGTAGTAGACAGAACGCTTAAAAAATTTTGTAAACTTTTCATGAAATAAAATAATCATTGTTTTTAAAAAGAAATCAGTAGTTTCAAAACACCATGCTTTGCTTCATCTGTAGGGAAAAACAGATTTCAACATGAACTGAAGATTTTATATAGTTGGAAAATGGATTTAATCAATCAATAATAAAATACATACTTGATTTCTATGCATTTATATGATGAGTGTAGTTAAATAAGGTTATCAGTTACCCATTTTCCAACTAATTAAATTGTCCCCATACACTTTCCAAAGTAAATAAAGGTAGTTATTTTTCTATTCAAAATAATAATCATAATCATCTCTTGAAATAATATTCAGCATGATTGCCGAAAATATCTTAGTTTATCTACATGAAAACTAATACCTCAACACATTGATTCCAATTCTACTAAAGATCAACTTAACCCAATTAAAGTCTCCTATCAGAAACTATAGGTTTTTTAAGAGTGAAACATAAGTGGTTCTCACAATTTTCAACCATTTTATATTTCACTATCGATAAGTAATGTTCTGTCTCATTTTGTAGAATCTTCCATTAAAAATTTTCTTTCATTTAATTTGATTTTCTGTTTTTGAACCAACTTAAAATATATTTTACATATATTTTTTGAATATTTCTAACTAGTAAGTTTTGTTATTGAGAAATATAGGTTGCATGTCTGGAAAAATATGCGAATGTACTTTTAATCAGCAGAAAATAGTGAATTAATTGAAATTACCAACGAAAAGTATGATATTATATTTTTATTTAGACATTTTTCGTGATAGGTTGGTTATACTACTACAGTGTGTTTAAAAATGACTATCGCAAATGAACATTTTTATCACATACAATTTATCAGTGGTTAATTCAAAGATGAATGAATAATAATCATTGATATTTAAGTAAGGATAAATTTTAATATAATGCTAAGATTTTATAGAACGAAAAAATTAAGTTTACTGTAAAGAACTGTTCCCATTGATATTTAGAAACTTGTCATTTTGAATAATAATTTTAGTTAGACAATCTTTGAATACCAGAAAGCTATAGGCAACTGTTTCGATTTACTACTAGATTACGCAGCAGGAATTGAACGAAATTCATCTAAATCCCGAAGCGAGTGCTTTACAATCAGAACACTGATTTGGAACTCAATAATTTACATAACTAATATCAGTAGATCAATCACAGTTAGAATTCAACACCGTTGGGTGCCGGCCCAGTGGTCCGATGGTTAGGCGTTCGCGCACAATACCGAAGGTCCCGCGTTCGAATCCTGCGAGGTGCAGGAGTCGTGGATGCGCACTGCTGGTGAGTCCCATACCAGGACGAAACGGCCGTCCAGTGCTTCCAGGTTTCTAATGGTGGTCTAACAATGATTGATTGATGATTTCAAGTGTGTAATATGAGTCAGTTAACAGTTTTTTGCATCCAATATTCAATGTAGCTAGTGACAAGTATCTCACACCGAACATTGTTTAGACTCTACTGGTCACAGCTACCAGATACACAAACTTATTCAACCATAAATAATGCCTTGTCAAGTTGGAAGAGTGAAATTTAATTATCTTGTTTATTTTATTGGCAAGTGGATTACAAATAAATCAAATGTGTTATTCAATAAACTTTAGTTTCTACAGCTACACACAAAATCGTTCACTTCCGAATCGAACTATTTATCAATTTGAATAAAAGCTTTGGTCCTGTTTACTCTGATTATAATTTTAAACGATAGCGAGGTTACAAATTTTATTTGTTCAGTAGCTAATCCACTCAATATGAATTACGGTACTTTACAAACTGCCTGCAAGCATACTGATAAACATTTTACAAGTAATTAATAAGACGAACTCGATATTCGGTTAATTCCAAGCTGAAATTAAACAAAGCACTCAATACATTATGACGAATAGCTGAATAAATTCTAAAATCGCATAGACTTTTAATTATTTGGTTTTTAAAATATTCAGTTCTCATTACGTTATAAATTTTTCACTATCGAAATATACTGGTAGCAAATTAATGGGCTTCTGTGTACCGTAAATTTAATATCACATCAACATTGATCGATCATTTTTATTGTTGTGTAACAAGTTAGAACATTTTTTAATGATAAGTTTTCATTTGTAATTAAACCGGGATTCGCAAACACTTCTTTATTTTCTATTACTGAGACGAATACACGAATAAAATAAACTGATAAATATATATATATATATATATATATATCAAATGAGTTAATGTAACTGTGAATGCTCTGAGCTATGTTGTGGCATCTATACAAACAAGAGACAGTTCAGTCTCTTTAGTATTTCTCTTTAAAAAGTAATAAAAGCTTATTTTCACTTTTTACAATATAAACAAGCTTCATTATTCTCAACAACACATATCATTTCCTATTAATATGAAATTTCATAACTATGCAATTGATGAAATTTATCCCCTCGTCCCTATATTTTCGTTGGCAAATGTTATTATTTCTGAATTTGTGTTTTTATTAAATTATTATTCAATCTTTCAGTGAATCATTATTGATGATCCGAAGACGTTGAAAGTCATGACGACTTTATGCTTTGTTGGATTAAATCAGCCGTCATTTTTCACACTAGACAGTTTGCAAACATACCATAAATGTAATTTTATTTCGGATTTTCGTATCGATGATATCAAACAATTACCAAGTATCCTTGATGAAAACAGTCTTTCTGTTCTAGTGCAGATACCAAAAAGTTTAATGATGTTGGAACTTTTATAATTAGCAGTAATTTGTTATCTGACAATTATGATATGGTTGTAGATCGTGTTCATCAGTTTCTTTTTGATATGAAAGTAACTGTTAATTTATTCTGGTCTCAAGTTAATTTCTTAATTGTGGAACATTCCCAAGTGCACCGTCCTATTGAAACCATAACTCAAATGAACAAGACGTTAGCGCTTATTCGATAATGAAAATTCTGATGCTTTTATCATGAATACAATAAATTCTAAACACTTTTTCCTACTTAGATGTTTCAACACATCTTGAATAATGATTGTAGCAGAACAATAGAAATCCGTTTAATCCTTGGGTTTTCTTTAGCTACGGTTAATTCAAAAGTTTGAATCACCTATTTTTTCAATGTAATCAAAAATTGCAAAAAAGCTTGTTGTTTAAGCTTTTTTTGAAACTAAATGATTATGAACTCTGAGTGTGTTAACCCATGTATAATAATGAAAGGTTTACAATTATGAGACATAGAAATGTAATTCCAAGTTGAATTTACGTTAAAAAGAAATTTTCCTCAATATTAAACAACGACAGAGGCACTCTCTTACAGCAATGAAATGTACAGCGATGATGACAAAGAAATATTATTCGTTGTGATTAACGAGACAACATAAATTTTATAATTAATAAGCATTTGAAAACAATGTACATACTTTATTTCATAATGTAAGAAACGTTTTCGTTAATGACGTTTAATAGAAATGCAACAAGTATACAAATGTTGGAAGACATTTTCATTTGGTACAATATTTCAATGTTAGAATATTGAGATAATTAACATAGAAAAAAAATCGGTCATTGTAACATCGAATGTTTAAATAGATAAAAAGAAATACATATTCTGTTAATCAATAAGATAAATGAAATACCACTCCAACGGAATTTTTGAAAAAAAAACACTGATTAAAGCATAGAATACTTCTTTCTGTAAAAAGTAAAGTTCATACAAATTGTTGTACGCTGGCTATTGATTTATGTTTCAGTGATCCGGTAGGAATATTTAAATATTCTATTATTATTACTGGCATACAACTTATTAACACAGAAATGTAATGGATCCTCAATGAGACAACTGAATCAAAGTTAATTGTAAAACACAATTAGTAATTTTTGCTGCGAAATTTTATTTGTAATCAATAATGGCAATTCAAATGATCACAACTTATTCCAATTTATTTTTAAAACATAGTTTCACAATTTAAATTGACAATTTTAAAGCTGGTAATTAACGGTTAAAACAGATAAAAGACAAATCTTAATCACGTTCTCATTTTCGAACATTGTAAATCACAATTTCATAAATAGAGGTATTTTTTTCGATGTTGTATAAATTCCCTAGTGCAGTTAGGTTTTTAATTTAATCTGAGTCATTTATAAACATCCAAATACTATTGATAATTATCAATAATTACATTGAAAAAAAGTAAGAATTCTTTAAATGTATTTGCCATTTATCTATTTGACAACAGGACAGGGGTTAATCATATTCTTATGTCCCGCTTCAAATTTATGTACATGAAACGATTTTAATATGTCACATTTTATTATTCTATTAGGTTTTGACTTTTATTGTGCTAATAGAATGATGAATAGATTTAAATATTTGTGGCATTCACTATCATAGCACTTAAATCCTAATATGAAATAAAGTACAGTTAGCTAAGAAAATCTTTAGCAATATCACTGATTTCGTTGCCTCAAATGTTCTATATGGCACTAGTCGTTTGACACCACTTACTAGTGGTGACCGTTTAAGAAATTTTAGTTACCGACTCATCATTACTGTAAAAGTGACTTCATATACAGATCACTTACTTCCGTCTGTATAGAAAGACCCTGGTTGTTAGCTATGTAGAAATATATCTTTCAAATAGCTTAATTACCTTAGCGTTATCAGAAGAACTAACCTTAGTCTGTATATACATAATAACATATATATAATCGCTTTAGTTCAAATCTCCAGAGCTTCATGTTGTATGGTTAGTTTTTGAATTTGATGTGCATAAAAAGCTTGTAAAAGTTCTACAATCTTGATTTTGTAATTCTATCAACTAGTGGTGATAGCAATGACCGAAGAGCACATTATTCATCATGAAAATAAACATTCTTATTAGTTATAATTCATACACAAGAGTTTATTGGAAACCAACATCAAATATGACACAACATTTCATTAAAGAGAAAACTGTAAAACAATACTGTAACATAACAACAATCATGTGTTCGGATATATTTTTCGACTTTTTTTTAACTTGTACTGCTAACGCTTTCGTATTGACAACTATGAAGACAAAAACAAGGATTTCAATCAACATTCAGTTGAAATATATACACAATAGCAAAAATTGATTATGAAGTTGACTGTCAATTGGAGTCACATTCAATTCCCACCATTTCTAACATACGTGAATTCTCAATAGTTTTTAATTTTTCTTTGCTCACACGATTATGAATAGTTGGATATGTTTCTATTGGTAAACCCATTCCAGTTGATGAATGTATCGAATTAGCTGGCATTGAATAACTTGTAGTAGAATGACTTGTAATAGATGGTCGATAGAAGAAGCGAAAAATATAACGATGATAGTTTGAGCATGTAGCAATTAGTAATAATGGACCTGTGACAGCATTTGACATAGCTAAACACATTGAATAATCAAGTAAAATTTCAGTTACTGGATAGTTGATATGAAATGTTTTTGTTAACAGATTGCATACATGATTGGGCGACCAAGATAAAACAAATAATGCTGCCATTAACACACATAGTCTTGTTAAACGCTGACGTCTTCTTGTCCATGCTGTTGTATTACGATATCCAGAAAGCATTAATAGTCTTTGTGACTGTTTCAAATGAACTGTAACAACATGTTGGCTTAAACACACAACTATCAGTGGTAAAACGTATATTGCTACTATTAAAATAACATCATATGCAAGCTGAGCTTCACGTGACCATGAATCCCTAAAATCAAAAAATGATTCAAAACAAAAATTATCATTCACTGGGTTATCAAAAGTAAAAATATTCGCTACAATTACGACCAGTTCAGTTATACTTATTATGTACAGTAAACCTGATGAAAACATTTGTAATCTTAGATTTCGATCATTTTACTAATAATATTATACCGTGTCCAAACAAATCCTATTGTGATTTACAATGATTTCGATTTAGCTACTTCAGAAGCTCACATTCTAAGCTTTCGTTCGATATTTGCACTTTTGACAACTTTTCCCATATACGGTCTATACTTCAACATACCTCAATGTTACACTCGTAAATCTTCACATAATCCACTAAAATGCACATGCATATTAACAAACAATACAAAGATTTTTGTAGAATGGGAATATTTAACTTCAGTATCCCATTTTTTTATAATTTGGAGTAAGATTATTATTTGATATTTTTTTTTGCAAATGAAATCAAAAAATATTATTTCTGATAAAATAGTCTATAACATTCAAGAACATTATTTAAATATAAAAATGTATTTCGACACAGTTTGTAATATAGTTATTTGATTATTAATTTTTTGGCAAATTAATATGATTGAAATTTTTGCTCAAGGTAAGATAAACTCATCCTATTAATTCACACCTCATGTATAAACATGGATCATTGTTAATTATTCGTGCCTTTTTAGTCAGATTTTAACAATTGATTAATTTTTGCAAAAAAATAAAAATAAAAAAAATCTCGCTTTTTGCTTTTTAAAATGTTCTAACTCCTACTTTTTTCCTTGACCTTGTTTGTTAAAATATAAAACAAATGATAAATAAAATTAGACGATTTTAAAAAACGTGTTAAATTGACAAAAGCTATTTACATGGATTCAGAAGGATATATCAAGTTTAATACTCTGAAAAATTCATTGAAGCTAACGTTTGTTAGTTCGTAATTAAAAAGATTACTCAATGGCTTGAAATAAATGATTCTATACAAATAATAGTAATAGACAAATCAGGTTCTGTATCAGTAGCTTTGAATAACATTAGGACAAGCAATTTAATCTTTTTCACCAGTAATTTTTGTTGTAACTTCATTGCTACATACTTATGAACACAATACTTTTGATGATTAAAATCAAAAAGGTGCTACACCTGTAAAATTTAAAAAAAAATAAAACAAATATAAAACAATTTAAAATTTAATCACTTCAAATTTTAATTATTTTATGCGTTGAACAAATTTCACATTCAATGCAAAATCGCCAATCCTATGCATGTTATCATAACTGAATACACTTGCTTGGTTGATACTTAAAAAATTGCTAGAGTGAATTGAATTAATCACTGTCAAAATATTGGTCTATGTAAACTTTTTAATAACGAATGATAGGAAATGCATAAATTATGTTTTTTTTCCAACTATTCAATCCTATAATTGTGTGGAAAAACTATTTCTAGTTATCTATTTCTTGTGTTAAACTAGATTTTTTTATATGAAATGTAAATCACAAAATAACCGCGTATTGAAATAATCAGAGTAAAAAAACTGTTTTCCTTTAGTATTGAAAAATTTGCGTCGTCAAGATCACATGAATTGAACAAGGTAATGGAAACCTACCAAAATGAATAAGCCAAGTGAGAAATCACTTACAAATTAATGACAGAAAGTATAAAACTCGTTTAAGATCGTAGGACTGGTTGATTTTATTGGTAATCTCATTATTGTAGTCCAGCATGTGTTTTAAGTCTTTATTATCTATGATTGTTGACTGTTAATTTAAATGTCTGTTATCCAGTTATGTATCACAGTCTAGCCTAAGGCCATCATTCTAGCATACAAAACGAATTAGTACTCGTATAAAAATTTTTCACCGTGTCTGATACTATCAATATTAACTGAGATCTATCCAGTCCAATGCTACAGCTATTCTCTGGAACAGCAAATGTAAGTATATCCGAACATTGTACCTGAAAGTTAAGTCCAGAAATGTACATTTTATGCACATATTTCGGAGGTTCCTGTATCAACATATTTAACATTTTCATTGCTTATCAAAGTATGACATTTATTTTCTGAATTTCATTGGAAACTATTTTTTATTCTCTTAACATTATACGATCATCAACTTTAGAGTTGAAGAATACAAGGATTTATTTATCTTTTTCTTCAATATCTTTTTATCTATTGACATGAATTTATTTATTAATATTATTATTGAATTCTCGCGTTTAAAAATTCACTCGTTTAAAGTTTAGTTTATCGATAACACATTTCATGATAATCAACAGCAACTGCTAATAAAGAACTTATTTATATGGCAATATACAGTTTAATAAATCATATTTTCTATCAATTTATCATTCAAGAGGCCACAAACGTAGGAGAACTTGTATCGAATTATCTTTACTGAACATACTAGACTGAAACAAAAGAAAATATAAGATTGAATAATAATCAGAATAAGCGAATTCACATACGCACCTCAGTTGAATACAATGAAAGTGATGTTAATGAAGCTTAAGGAAAAACCTCACACATTTCCTATACTTTGATTAAGATTGGTTAAAAGCTAGTCAAAATATCAACAGTCGGATCAACCAAATCGATGCAGATTAAACTGAAATATATCATGTTTGATTTTGATAGATAATATTCCTCCACACATACCGAGTAATCTGATAGTCGGAACAAAACAAAAGCATCAGAAACACTGGCTATCAAGAAGAATATAAACATTCTGTATTCACTAACTGTCTAGGGAAAGGCATTTATTAACAAGCGTCTATTCAGTCAGTTTGTTATAGTGTAAATAAATATTTTTCCAACTTTTTTTTCTGGTGTTAAGTCGACTTGACTAACATAATGAAAAATAAAATAAAAATGAATTTATCCTACTTTACTTATAAGTTGTGATTATATAAATCAATATCAAACAGTAATATAATTTAATCAGATACACCATCTCTTTGGATTTGTTTTTATTCGCATAAATAAATTCTGTTATAATTAATTACAAACTTTACATATTTTCATTTTTTTCTTTTCTCGCTATAAAAATGGCTTAGTGCAACCACTTTCAAGTGTGTACAAAACAAAACTGAAATATATTTCACTTATTTCTCATCAAATGGTAATTATGCCTGACAAAAAAATACACCGAATTCGCAGAATGATGTGTGATAGTTTGATATCTACCATAAAAAGTTTTGTTAATTTAATTTACACTGAACATTCGAAAAGCTGAGTGTTTTATCCAGCCAATGATAATTAATTAGTTTACTTTTACTGTTTCTCATTCAAATGTGCTTGTTAACTCTCTAGATTGTGAAAAGTAGAGTCAATGTTTATGGTGATTTTTCAAAAAAAAAACAAATGCTTAGATTTTCTATCCTGGTAAATAAACGTTTCTACTAATGAATGGAATGATTACTTATTTTTGGCCATTTATACTAACAATGAACTGGTTTATATAATGTTATCGATTGCCTCGAAACGTTGTTGCAATCTGTTGAAAGTGAATTTTGTTTCAGTTGATTATAGTTATGCTGATTGTACTTGGAACCATATTTAATTCACTTTAACAAAATGTGGAACACAAAGATTGATAAAATGAAGTACACACATAAACACACATAAACAGTATTCTAATATGGGTGAGTCCTAAGGTTCTACTTCATTTCGTCATTTGTGTATATAGCTATATAGAACGCATGATTTCAGTATAATCATTGGCATACTATACAGCGTTAGTCAAACTATATCCCTTAACAGTCTTAGTATCTGTTACTTTTCACTGAGAAATGTAAACATTGTTTGTAATTTGGGTAAATATAGTTAACCGGACAGCAACACGTTAAACATAAATCACACACTTATGTACATAATGAAAATTTATGCTCAAAATATTCTTTTATGTAAGTCAACTACTTTATTCACTAAATTTAATGTTTTATAGTGAACTTTTCTTTTAATTTTCAACAGGGAGTATTGTTCGGAAACCCTAAATGACTTTGTTTATAAATAAAGATTAATGATATGTCATTGTAATAGGTTCATTTTCTTAGTGCATTTATTCATTTATACACATCTTTCTTTTTACACTCAAAACAGAACATCAATAAAATATCATTTTAAGAAGGATGGGAATCTGATTCTTAATTCATATGTTGTACGTTTTGATTGATGGGTGATGAAGTAGACAGTATGTTTTCAATAAGGGAATGCACTGTTATAATATTAATTGTCTGTAAAAAACATCTATTACACTAGGTGAGCAGTTTAAGCTTTTCATGAATGCCTTAATCCGTAAAGCAATGAACAGAGCTTTCCTTTGAGCGAACAATTAAATGCCTTTATGTAATGTGTCTGGAAATGTTAATCGTCGAATTTCAAAAGAAAATAAACTTATTCCAGTTGCTGGAATATTATCTATATATATACTAGGTGTTTAAAGATACATGAAAGGGAACCCTGAACCTGTAAGTTGTAAGGCTGCAGCTGACTTTCTGTCGGACCGAAATATATTCGTTTGACTTATTGCTGAATAGTGCCCATTGTCATGTTTATCTAGTCTGTCACTGTACTAATAAGATCCTTTCCATCTATTCATATGGATTTCTATATAGATATATATATGTAACTTTATGTTATGTTCATACAGTAATAAAGATTAAAATGTAACGTAACTATATAATAATCTATGAGTTCCATGTAGACTGTGCTCTGACAACAGAGTAAAGGATTAACTATGTACAACTTAGCATATATCCTCTGAAATAGCTATCTTTCTATATTAAACTATACGGACTCGAAATCAAAACTCTGGCTTGAAAGGCTTTTACAGTCCTAAAATAAGCAATAAACACAGAATTTAAAAAAGATTCTGTTAAAGTAATTTCGAAAAAAAAGACTTTGCAATCTTTGAGAAAAGCGTTTTAATGCCTCCAAACCCGTGTAATATTTTTCAAGCCACCTCGAATTAGCAGATATGCTAAGTATGTGTTTTCTCA